AATAAAAAAAAAAAAAAAAAAAAAAAGAAATAATTAAATGATAATTATACAGTTCCAATTTTTATTAATTGAGGAATTAAAAATTCCTGTACTAACATAAGTTGTAATTATTACACCAATATAACAAAAAAAAAAAAATAATAAAAAAAAAAAAATAAAAAAGATTGATATTTATAGAACGGCTAGTTTCTATATATGGATCTTTAGCAATTTTTTTTATGGTGATTTTGTTCATATTTCAAAATTACGCATTAAACCATATACAGGAAAATGTAATAAATTTATATACATTTTATACACATTTATTTTTTGTAACATGTATTCTCTATATCTATCGAAATATAATAGATAAATTATTTCATTAAATTTATAAAAATAACATTGATACTTAAATGTTTTCCTAATAATATTTATGAAAAAAAAAAAAAAAAAAAACAAAATGAAATATTAATAACAAGGAAATAATAATATAATATGATATTGGCACTATAAGCTTTTTTTTTTTTTTTTTTTTTTTTTTATTAGGTTAAGAGTTGAAACAAAAACATGGACTCGTGATAGTCATGACCTATTTGATTATGAAGCACAGCAAGTGAATAAAAAAAGCTTTTTAATATCAACTGCAATAAAACTCTTTCGTTCAAAAGCACAAGTTTCATGTGTAGCTGATAATCCTCAATGTTTACCCAATACAGCTCAAGATTATCTTTTATCAGTACGACCTGAAGAAGGTAACACAAAAAAGCAAAATATAAATGATTTTCATGGATTTTATTTTGTTTTTATTTTATTTTTATAATTTTATTATTACATTTTATATATTAATGTTGAGTTTTATTAAAAAAAAGAAAAAAAAAATTTCTTTATAATCTATAAACATTTATAAGTTTTGTGATGCATTTTTTTTTTTTTTTTTGTATATTTAAGAAATATTTGTTATAATAAAAAAAAGAGCTATTTAAATAAATTTTTTATTATTATATATTTTTCATTAATATTTATTTTATTATAAATAATGTAATTTTATGTGTTTTAAATTTTATTCAATATTTTAGACAGATATATTATAACTCCAGCAGAGCACTCTTTAAGTAATCAATATAATATAAAAAAATTGTGGATAATAGTAAAAGATTTACCAGAGAAGTATTATGCGTTACATGAGAATGATATTATAAAATTAGGAAGATTTCGTTTAAAAGTAAGGCAATTTATTGAATCGGTTGATACCTTAAATTCTTTAAAATTAGATGATAATCCTTCAAAAAAATGTGAAACTATTTTAGATTCTTCAAATATACAATGTAGAATATGTTTGATAGAAGGAAATCAAGAAAATGATCCTTTAATATGCCCGTGTGACTGTAAAGGTTCTATTAAATATGCTCATTTATTGTGCTTAAGAAAATGGATAAATGGGAGATTAAATTTAAATGAACAATTGTTTTCAGGATCTGTTTTTATAAAGGATATAAGTTGTGAGTTATGCAAATCAAAATATCCGAAAAGTATAAAACAAAATGATGAATTAGTTCAACTAGTTAAAATACCTAATTTAAAGACACCTTTAATAGTTTTAGATAACATAATTGGACAAACAAGTAAAGGAGTTCATTTAATTAGCTTTGCTGATAAAAAATATCTCAAATTAGGAAGAGGACATGAATCAGATGTTAGAATCCCTGATGTATCTATTTCGAGATATCATGCTACAATTAAATATGATAAAGGTTTATTTAAATTAGAAGATCATAACTCAAAATTTGGTACATTAGTTGCTTTAAGAAAAGCAAGAGAAATATTTCCAAGAGATACAATGTCACTACAAGTAGGCAGAAGTGTCGTAAATTTTAGAGTAGATGAAGCTATCCCTTTTAAGAGTGGCGTTATTGATATTATTGAAAACAAAGAAGTTATTGATTCATCAGAAACAACTAATAATGAAAAAAGTAACTCCAATTCAACACAAAGAAATAACACTAATTTAGAAGATAATAATAGAAATAATTATGAAAGAAATCAATATATTGATCTTACTAATACTTCCAATTCCTTACAAAATTCTTATGCACCTTATAGAGTTGATAATTTAATGTCATTATTAAATTATCAAAATGAATATAGAATTTTTGGTATTAGAAATTGTTATAATCTAATTGAAAATAGAAATAATAATCATAATATAACACAAGCAAATTATCATAATTACAATAATAATAATAATGAAAATAATGAAACTAACGAAAACAATATAGAAAACAATGTTGAAAATAATCAAAATATCATAGAAAATAACAATGAGGAAAATAATGAAGAAAATAACAACAGTAATGAAATTAATGAAGAAAATAACAACGAAGAAGAAGATGATGATGATGATGATGACGAAGAGAATAATAATAGGAATAATAATAATGAAACAGATAACTGTAATAACAGTCATAATAGCAACCATAATAATAATAATGATAATAATAATAATAATAATAATAATAATAATAATAATAATAATAATAATAATAATAATAATAATAATAACAATAATAATAATAATAATAACAATAATAATAATAATAACAATAATAATAATAATAATAATAACAATAATAATAATAACAATAATAACAATAATAATAATAATAACAATAATAATAATAATAACAATAATAATAATAATAATAATAATGATAATAACAGTAATTATGATAATAATAATAATAACAATAATAACAATAACAGTAATTATAATAATAATAATTACAATTATAATAAAAACATTAGTAATAATAACAATCATGAAAATAAAAAAAATCCCAGTAGCTGTAATATAAATAGCAATACTTATAATAGTAGAAGTATTTATAACAAGAACAATAATGAAAATAATAATAGCATTAATAAAAATCAGAATAAATATTTTAAAGGTAGAAACAATGAAAATAGAAATAATTATTTTAATAATCGCAATCAAGGTGTAATAAGTGTAATTAATAAATGTGAAAATAAAAATTTTGGTATCAATAATAATAATAATATAAATAGTAATAACTATAATTATAATGATATTAATAAAATTAATAATAATATAAACGAAAATTATGAAAAAAAAAATATAGAAGATAAATTCTTTTTGCATAATGAAATAAAAACTCCCCCTTTAGATTTTTGTAAGAACGTTGATATTTTAAGTAATAATTTTTTATCTAATTGTAACACTAGTTCAGAAAAAATAGTAGAGTCTTCTAATTATAAAAATTATCAAAATAATTTTAATGAAAATATGTTTCAACAATCATATTGTCACATTAATAAAAATAATGAAGTACTCAACTATTGTTTATATAAAAATACGAATAATCATGACAATTATTCGAATGATAACATTTTAATAGGAAAACAAATACAGAATAATTTTCTTAATGAAGTTAATAAGAAAAATTTGGAAATTATTGTTAACAATATAAATTCAAGAAATGATTTAAAAAAAGATAATTGTTGTAGTTATTCTACGGAAAATTTTCTTAATTTGACTAATATGAATGATATTACGTTAAAATATAATTCTCTGTTAAAAAATGATGATCAATGCTCAAATTTTTCTGATAAAGAAAATATAAAAAACAATAAATTTTTTTTTCAAAATTTAACAAATACACTTGCATTCAAAGAGGATCATGATAAATTGGTATATAAAAACAAGGAAAATAAATATATTAGAAATGGAGATGAAAAAATAGATAAAATAATTAAAAACAATATTAATAATACATTAAAAGAGGATAGAGATATCAGTAAATATTTTAATTATGATTTGAAAACTAATTTAAATAACACTTTTATAAATAAGATTAAAATAAATGAATGTATTAAAGAAAAGTTTAAAAAATTTTCAAAAATTGATGATAATAACATTTCATTAAATAATAATGTAAAAGATTTATATGAACCAAAAGAAGTTGCATTGAAAAATAAAAAAATAAAGAAAGTAAATTCTCATAAAAAGAATATTATAATAGATTTAGCTGAGAGGAGAAATATTTGCAATAAAAAACTGAAAAAATCAGTCAACAATGACCAAATTGAAAAATCATTAATTGAAGATGTAAACAAAAATATTTTTATTAATGAATGCTTTAATGAAAATATCAATAAAATACAAACACCTTTTCAGGAAAATGAGTGTGATTTAACAAAACACTTAAAAACAAATATTCTAAAAAATAAAGCTTTAGGTAATAGAATTTTTAATTCAATGTTTTATAAAAATGATTTTAATAATGAATATTATTGTTGTAGAAAAAAATATTATAACAACGAGGAAGGAGCATATAACGAGAATTGTCATGAAAAAAATGAAATAACTAAATCCAATAATAATAAAAATGATTTTAATAAGAGAAGAGAATATAATAAATTTCAAATGAAATACTTTTCTCCATATATTGATAATTATAATTTTAATTGTAAGTTTGATAATTCTAATAATTTTGTTGATCATTATAATATATATAAAAATAAAACTTGCAATAATTTTAATGAAGATATGTGCATTAATGATAAGCTTAATTATAGATCTGCTATTAATGCAAGTATGAACTCGGATATTCTTTTAAATAATATTAATTCAAACAGCGGTACTCATTTTGATTTATCATCTCCTATATATAACAATGTAAAAAACTTATTTTTTTTAAGCACATATAACGATAATAACCTTAAATATAGTATTATAAATAATAAAAATATGAATGATATGATAAGTAACAATGATAATGATAGTGAATATATAAACGATTATAATTGTATTGATTATAATACAAATGGAAATAAAATAAATTTTTTAAATTGTGATAATAATAATAATATTTTTAAACCAATTCGATATCAAAATAATGGCAAGAAGATATCTTATTGCAATTTAGAAAAAAAAAACAAAGAGGAATATCTTGTAAATAACAAAAATAGGCTTTATAATGGTTGCGATAATATTATTAACGAAATAAATTTAGGAAACGAATATTTTCATGATTCAGAGGAAAGTGAAAATAGTACTGCTATTAATGTATATAATGTGAAGTTAAATTCTAGAAAAAAAAAGGTTGATAATTATATGGATTTTAATAACAATTTTAGATCTTATAAATTATATAATGATATGGGAATGAAAAACAAATTTATTCAATGTGAGAACAAAAACAATGAAAAAAGTAAATGCAGAATTAATGGGAATCATAATGGAAAAGCGAATGATAATCAAAAAATGAAAAATGAAAAAAAATTAAATAAATATGAAAAAAATAACAACTATAACGATAATGAGATTATTGACAATAAGAACAATAACAATAACAATAACAATAACAATAACAATAACAATAATAAAGACGATCATATTGACAATGATGATGACAACGATAATAATAATGATAGTGATAATGATAACGATAATATTGATAATAATAATAATGATGAGCATGATAATAATGATAATAATGATAATAATGATAATAATAATAATAATAATAACAATAATAATAATAATAATAATAATAATAATAATAATAATAATAACAGTGATAGTCATAATGATAACAATGATAGTCATAATAATAATAATAATAATAACAATGATAGTCATAATGATAACAATAATAATCATAATAATAATAATAATAACAATGATAGTTATAATAATAATAATAATAACAATGATAGTCATAATGATAATTATTATAATAATGAAGCAAATAATTGTAATAACGGTAATAATAACAACCATAATAATAATTATAATAGTACTAATTTCAATGACATAAATAATGATAATCATAATGATAATAATAATAATAATAATAATAATAATAATAATATTAGTAATAATAATGATAATATTAGTAATAATAATAAAGATAATAATATTAATAATAATAATAATTACAATGACATAAATAGTGATAATAATAATAGTTATATTTATAACGATAATTATAGTAATAATAATTTTAAGAAAAATAATAAAATTAATTTCACTGAAAAAATAAGTCAAATAGAAGATACGACTAATAATTATGTTGAACATTCAGATGTAAAAATATGTAAATTTAATGAAAAGTGTAATAATAATTATGAAATATTACAATATACTGATATCAATGATGAAAATAAAAATAAAGATATAAAATCAAATAAAGGAATAATTTTTCAAGTTTATAAAAACAAAATTTCTGACTATAATTCATCATTAAATGTTATAAATAATAAAAAAATATCATATAAAGAAAAAAAATATAAAACATTTATAAACTTATTATCGAATGATGATTTAATTAAACAAAACATAAACGATATTACTGCATAATATGTGACATTAAAAAAAAAAAAAAAAAAAAAAAAAATTTTAAATAAATGTTAATCTATATGAAAATGTGTCAAAAATATATGTAATTAATGAAAGTAAAACATAAATAATTAAAGAAATATTAAAAGTACATGTATGACATTATCTATGATTTTTTGTTTGATAAATTGTATAATAAGAATATTTTTTATTAAGTGAACTGAACTATTTGTTGATTAAAATAAAATTAAACATGTATGGAATATGTCTAATATAAATGAAAAATATAAATATTATTTGTTGATACAATATTTTAAATCCTTTTTTTTTTAGAAAAATATAAATCTTTAAATTGTTAACATATTTATTTAAATGAACAAATTATTTAAAAAAATTCATGAACCATTGATTATTTATGAAGAATTTAATCTGTAATGCAAAAATTTCTTATACTATATGGGAAAGGAGCACATTTTCTACTAAAATATTTTTTCTTTTCTTTTATTATTATTATTATTATTTTTTTTTTTTTTCTTTTTTTTTTTTTTTTTTTTTTTTTTTTTTTTTTTTTTTTTTTTTTTTTTTTTTGTTAAAATATTATTCTTAAATTCAAATAATTATGTGTTACCTATTTTTAAAACAATTTTTTTAATGAAAATTAAAAAATCCAAAGAAAAAGAGAATATAAATGTGTGTATTTGTAAAATTAATAATATGTATAGTAATAAAAAAAAAAAAAAAAATTCTTATTTTTATAGTTAAAATGATAAACATTACACAATTTTTTTTTTTTAAATTTTATTTATTTTTGTCTATTTAGAAAATAAATATATGTATTTTACATTTTTTTTTTTTTTTTACTTTGATTATATTTAATTTTTATTTTGCCTTTTCAATAATAGCTGTGATTTATATAAGAAAATATTAAATATGAATTAGTATATTTTTTTTTTTTTTTTATATATACACATAGTTATTAAATAAAAGAAATTATAAATTTAAATAAATTTCATGAATAATTATAGTTTGTTATTTATCATAATTATATGTTTTAATTAATTTTTTTTTTTTTTTTTCCTTTTTTTTGTTAAAATATCTTTTATGTAAAAATATATATTAATATATGTTTACATATGAATATACTTTTTTTATTCAACAAATATTTGTTAATTCATTACATTTTTAATTGTGTTGAATATAAATTTAGAAATTTTTTATTTTTTGCAATGTAAATTTTTGTTATTTTTGACAATTTGTGAAGTGATAAAAATTAAAATATGAAAATTACAAATTTTCTAATATTTTTAAATCTTTGAAATATCAAAGAATTATAGAATAGAAAGAAAATATTAATAGTAAAATTTCATTTTAATACTAATATGTTTTTGGCAATTAAAAGAAAATTCGTGTGTTTTTAGTTGAAACAACAACAACAAAAAAAAAAAAAAAAAAATTTAATGGTGTTAGAATTTTTCTATAAAAATAATAAATATATTAATGAATTATGTAAAAAAGAAAAAAATATACTAGATTTAGAATATTTTATTATCACAAATTTTACAAAATTTTATAAACAAAAGTAATGTTGCAATTATAATAATGAAGGATAAACACTTTCTTTTTGTTCTAATAATTTAATAATTAAAGATTATTTGAAAAAATAGAAAAAAAAAGATATATAAATTAAAACCCTCGAATGTTATTAAAAGAAATGTGAAAATATTTAAATATATTAAATTTGAATATTGTCTATATTTATATTTTAACGTTATATTTGATATCAATTTTGCCATTCTTTTATATTCATGAAGTATATTTTAAAAATTTCTTTTTTTTACATAGTCAACAACCTGCACAACATTACAGATTTTGAAAGGCTAAAATTAAATGATTTTCTTTGTATTTGAAAAATTAACTTTTTTTATAAGGGTATTCTAAATTATAAGTATTTAAAATACCCATTTTGTGAATACTTTCTACTTTGTATATATATTATAGATAGAATATTGCAAGATAGTATTCTTCAATATAATTTTTTCTTTATTTAACAATTCAAGGATTCTCAAAAAAAAAAAAAAAATTGTTTAATAAAAGAAAAATATATACATATATATTTATAATAGATATTCAATAAAACAAATTTAGGGATAAAAAAAAAAAATAAAATACGATAAAAAATATATTAAAATAAAATAAAATAACAATAAAATAATTTCATTAGTGCACTAATAAAAATAGTTATATAAATAAAAACATTTATATAATAAAAAAAGTTAAAAATTTTATTTTATTTATTTATTTTTTTTTTTTTTTATAGCTCATCTTTTTGTTCAGAAGTATCGTTTTTGTTCTCTTGTGAATTACTATTTGTTTCATTTATATTATTTTCTTTTTCAACATTAATTTCTGATTCATTTGTATTTTTATAATTATCTCCTATATCATCTGACGTTTCTTCTATGTTATTTTTACTTGAGCTTTTTTCTTTTTCTTCATTATTTTCTTTTTTTGGATTTCTTTCTTTTTCTGAATTTTCTTCTTTTTTTTCATCCGAATCTTTGTTATTTTCCTTTGTTTCTTTTTTCTCTACAGGTTTTTTCAACTTTTCTAAAGTTTTTATTAAAGAACCAATTGATTTAAACTTTAATTCTACTTCACTAGATTTAAAGAATGGAGATGAATAGTTGTCTAATTTTTTCTGCTCTTCTTGAGCATTCTTCCACCATAATATTTCTTTTTCCAATGAATCATTAACCATTTTAATTGTATCCATTGCCCATGGTTTTTTTTCAGACATATCTTTAATTTTTTCTTTCATTTCTTTTATATCTAAATTAGTTTTCTCAATAAGTTTATCTCTCACTTCTAATTCATAGGCTCTTTCTTTAATTGGCATATAAATATCTTCTAATTCTTTTATCTTCATATTTACAGATTCCAATGATTCATCATTTTCTGTGTATAACCATTCTTCATATTCCTCTAATTTATTTAAGTAATTATTTCTTGTTTCTTCTTTTGAAACCTGCTTAAATATATCTTGTTTCATTTTACTTCTTGTTTCATATATAAAGGATTCTAAGTTATTTTTTGCTTCTGATTTAAGAAAAATATTAATATCATGATCATCCAAATTTTTTAAAAGTTCCTTTTTATTTTTTATTTCTTCATTAGTTAAAGGCAAAGGTTTTATATCTCTAGATTCGTATGTTAGATGAATTTTATGTTTTATAATTTCAGTCTTTTTTTTTATATTTTCATTTCCTTCTTTTTTTTCTTCTATTGTTTCTTCTTTTGTTTCTTCTTTCGATTCTTTTGTTTCTTCTTTTGATTCATCTTTTGACTCATCTTTTGATTCTTCTTTTGACTCATCTTTTGATTCTTCTTTTGATTCATCTTTTGATTCATCTTTTGATTCATCTTTTGATTCATCTTTTGATTCTTCTTTTGGTTCATCTTTTGATTCTTCTTTTGATTCATCTTTTGACTCATCTTTTGATTCTTCTTTTGATTCATCTTTTGATTCTTCTTTTGATTCTTCTTTTGATTCTTCTTTTGATTCTTCTTTTGATTCATCTTTTGAATCATCTTTTGATTCTTCTTTATTTTCTGAATTTTTCTCTTTTTTAACTTCTACAATTTCCCTTTCTTCTTCATAAATAACCGCAATTTTTTCTAAATTTAAAATACCAAATTTATCAAGTCGAAATTTTAAATTTATTTTGGGTGCGTCTAAATGTTCATATTTTTTTTTAGTAGTTTCATCTAAATTTACTATAGAGTATTGGTTAATCATTTTTCCATTTTCATATACTGAAAATTTTAAATTATCTTTATATTTCAAAATAACACTTTTATTAACTGGATATTTAGAGTTATAATTAATTAATTCTTTTGGAGAGATATTTTTTTCTTCGTTAGTAGGATCATCATAACTAACTAAAATCTGATAATCATTTGAAATTATATCAGAATATTCCAAATTTTTTAAACGAAAATTATGACTATTGTAAGCAGCAATAAACAAAGATCCCATAGTAATAGCTTCATCACTGTTTAAATGCATACCAACTTTTAATGGATGAAAAAAATTAGTTATTTCATTTAGAATTTTTGGTACTCTCCATGCTGATCCAATTAATTCTAGAGCTTCAATATCTTTAATTTCAAAAGAAGCTTTTTTGAGAGCATTATTAATTGGAATTTTAATATCATCAATAATTTGTGCAATTAATTCTTCAAATTGTTGTCTTATTATATTTTCTGATAAACTTTTATTATTATATAAACTTTCTATAAAAACATCAGCTGATTTTTTTGCACTTAATATCAATTTTGCTTTATTTGCAGCAATAAGTAATTTTCTCATTGCTTTTTTATCATTCACAATAGAAACATTATGTTTTTCTTCAAACTTTTTTCTTAAATATTCTGCCAAAATTATGTCTATTTTATTTCCAGAACTATTTTCTAATGACTCACATGCATAAACTCTTACACTTCTTGAATGAACCTTATCTTTTTCTACATTACTAATAGTAGCAATTCCCACATTAATATTTTTACTACCTATATCTAAATACATAGTTAATTTTGTTGTATTTAATGGTAGGTCATGTACATTATGGATAGCTGCAGCAGTAACCCCATTAATAATTCCTAATAATTCTAAACCTGCTATTTTGGTTGCATTTAATAATGCCTGTTTTTTTCTTTGAGAATAATTACAGGGTACTGAAATAACACAACCAATATTTACATTAAGATTTTTATTATATTTATAATCAATATTTAAATGAGTAAGTGCTAATTTTTTTATATAATTTAATATATTTGCTGTTATTTCTTCAGAAGATAATATCATTTCATTTTTTAATTTTATATTAATTGTACCCCTTCTATGATCTACATTATAATCATAACCGTAATATTTTGATGCAATGTCATTATTAAAATCATAGTTATTTATATCATTAAAAAATTCATCATTTTCATCATAATTCTCAATATTAAAATTTTCTTTGTTTTTTAATTTATCAAATAAGTTAAACCCTAAAAAGCTATTACTATTTATTAAAGTTAAGTGAGGATATTTTGTGCTATATATATTCGCATCTGCATCATATGATCGAAATTTACTGGCAAAAGATATTACGTTATTTATTTTTCTTTTACTTTGATTATTTATTAATATATTAAAACCTTTACCAGGTGATACAATGGAAACTTTTATAAACTCATTACCAAAATCTATACCTAATAATGATGTACTTGTTACAAATAATTTATAGCTTAAAATATTTAAAATAAAAAAAAATATTAATTTCATTTTTTATTATTAGTATATCTTTAAAATCAATTTTTTAAACTCAAAACTTCTCTTACAAGTGTAATTTTATATCATATATAAATAAGAAAAAAAAAAAAATAAAAAAGAGAAAAAGGGAAATAAATATAATTATTAATAAAACAAATTCATTTAAATAATAATTTTGTCATTTTTTTCTCTTTAATTAAATACTTGACATTGTTAGTTGTATAAACATAAATTCGTTAATTTATCATAATCTGAAAAATCAAAACTAACAAAAATACTTTATTTTTTTTTTTTTTTTTTTTTTAATAAATTTTATGATTAATTCAAATATATTTTAGATTAATATTTTAGTAAATTATATCATTAATTTTAGTATTTTTTTTTTTTTTTTTTTTTTTTTTTATGTATCAAATTTAGTATGTGCTCATTAATGCTATTTTTTTTTTTTTTTTTTTTTTTTTTTTTTTTTGAGAATATATTTTTTATTAACATCTAAAATAAACACATTATTCAAAAAAATTTTCCTTTATTCAATATATATTTAAAAGGAGAAGAAATTAAAATAACAATATAATAGTATTTTTAAAATAGAAATATGAATTAATTTGTAAAAATATACATCTTTTTTCTTAATTTAATAAATAAGAACATTATAATATAAACAATGATTTGTTAAAAAATTATCATATACATATATATATATATATATATATATATTTATTTTTATAATTTAGAAAATATTTCAAATAATAAGCAGTTATAAGTATATATTTAAAAAAAAAAAAATATCTTTTTTTTAAATTTTTTAAGGTTAACTTTAAATACTAAGATATATATTATCATATAAAAAAAAAAAATAGTTTTAATAAAGTTAACGAAAATTAAATTAAATGTTAAAATGAATATAACATCAAACAACACAGATTTATGTCAATAAATAATTGGAATAACAGAACAGGAATAAAAATATATATGGAAAATATACTTCATATAAAAAGGACATTTAAATAAAGACATTAATATTAATTTGTCATTAATATTGAAAAATAATTCATTCCTATTTATAAATGAAGTTTATAATATATTGATGTAATAAGAAAAAAAAAAAAAAAAAAAAGCCTTCCTTAAATATAATCATGTTTTGTTTTTAAAGATAATAAAAATTATTAATTAAATAAACTATTTTATTTAAATTAAATGAATAACCTAAAAATATTTGTTAGACTTTATAAAGATTTATATTTAAAAAAAAAAAATATATATTTTTTTTTTTTTTTTATTGTATAAATTAATAAATGAAATAAAAATTGCTTATTTTTTTAAATTACTAAAAAAAAAAAAATATTTACATATAAAATATCTAAAAAAAAAAAAAAAAAAAAAAAAAAAAAATATATATATATATAATTTAAATAAATATATTCATGTATTATGAATCATGTGCAAATTCATCATAATTTCCCCCAACAAAAACTTTTGGTAGTAAAAATTCTTTATCAAAACTATTCTGAACAATTTTAGATTTATCAATTGATCTCCTTTCTTGCTTACAAGCTTCTTCACTTTCAAAAGATAGTCGTTGCTCTTCTAAAGATTTTTCATTACCACACCCCCAAGCTTCTACTTCATTAATAGATAATTTACATAAAAATGAGTCTACATCATCATCGTCATCATCATCAATATTATTACTATCTTTTTCTTTTTTGTGATGAGGAAAATATAAATGTCCACTTTTATATGTGTAATCACTCTGTGTACAGTAAGATTCTTTAAATTCATCACTCAAAAATAATCTAAAACATTCAGTTTTTCCTCCAAATCCTAAACCTTTAGGATAGAAAGAATTTTTACTATTTAAGTAAACATAATTATTACCTAAATGATTTGTTCTAATAATTCTAAAAACTGGATAAGCAGAAAATAAAAAATCATTTGAAGAACCATGAAACAAATGAGAATCTTTTAGAGGAGTAGTACATACTCCACCTAATATTTGATTATCATCTGTCTTAATTACAATTACAATAGGAGATGGATAATGAAAAACAGAGTTAATAAATCTATTAAAACTTATTCCTTGTTTCCATGAAGCATATAATCTATACCATTCATTATTTGTAAAACAGGTAGAACATTGTCTCAAACTAAAAACAATTTCATCAGTTAGTATTTTGCTAGTTTTATTTAAAAATAATCCTCTCCATCCGTTAGTTTCATTTTGAATTTCTAATATAGAAGAGGATTTTTTATATGTATCCTCTTTTGATAAACTTTCTTTGCTTTCTTGATTTTTTATTTCATTTTTTTTCATGTTTGTATAAATAGAATGTATCAGTTCAATACTATTTATGCATATATCATTAAAATTTGTTATATTATTTTCTTCTGCATTTTCTTCCTTTTTCTTTTCGTTAGTTATTATATTTTCATTATCTGTAAAATGCTTAAAAGTTGCATCTGCATAAATGTTACTTAAATTTACAAAATTTGAATTAATGTATTCTATCATTGTGTAATATATAGAATGTTTACTACTATCTATAGAATTAACATACAATCTAAAACCAATAATTATATTTCGGAAATCTAAATTAGTTTCTAAAGAAAAAAAGAGTTCCTTAAAAAAAAAGGTTAAGTCCCAACTATTTTTTCTATTTATTATAAAATCTTCATTTAAATTTGACTTTGATTTATTTAAAAATATTTTTTTTTCTGATATTTGGTTTTTATTTGTTATTTTAAATAATAAATTACATGGACACAATAAATATAACTGTTCAATATACATATATGTAAAAAGATGATGTAATGCTTCTTCTACAGATATTAAATCCTTCACATTGTAATTTTTAGGATAATGATATTTTATTTTATTTTTATCCAAAAAAAAAATATTATCATTTATAAATTTGTAATTTCTTTCTCTTTTACTGTTTTTATTTATTATGTTTACATTAGAATCTGAAAGAACAAATTTAAGGGAATTATTTAATCTGCTTAATTCCTCTTTATCATTTTCATTATTGTATATATTTGGCTCATTGTTATAAGAAGAATCTTCTTTCTCTATCATATTTAGATCATCTTCTTTCTTATCATTTTCAATTGGTAATTTATTAATGTTTAAATTATTAATGTTTAATTTATCAATGTCCTTATTATTATCACTTGCATTTTCATTAATAATTCTTACTTTATCAGATTCATTATTGTTCGATATACTATATCTTAAAAAACTCATAAATAAAATTCTTATAATAACTCTGCTTTTCCTATTATTTATATAGGATAATATATTAATTATTTCTTGTAAAGATATTTCATTACTTAGTTTTTTACTGTTTTTATTAAATAAAATATTAATAGCATAATTAAATCCATAATTATTTAACTTTTCTTTATTTTTTTTACCTTTTTTTCTAAGCACTTCATGAAAGGAAGGTAGAACTAAAGCAATATATGGTCTTAATATGTGAGGATATACATAGATAAAATCTAGAGTACTGACTTTTTCATTTATTTCTTTTTTATTTAAATTAAATTTCTTTCTTATATTTTCTACATCTTTCTCACTCAAATTTCCATATTTCAATGTATTTTTTGAATATCCTTCTCCCATATTTATCAATTTTTATTAAGGATTTATGGAATCAAAAAATATACATAAAAAAAATATTATATATGTATATATATATATATATGTATATATATATATGTACATATGATTGTTCTTATAAAAAAAAATGAAAAAAGAAAAATTATGAAATATTTATTTTTATTAAATAAAAAATTTCAACAAACATTTTTAACAAATCTCATTTTTCTCAATAAGACTTAATAATTTCATTTAATTCGTTTAAGAATATTTAATATATCTCTATTTTATTCACGAAATATTATAAATAAAAATATATATATATTTATATTTATGTAAAAATAATAATTTATTAAAATATACATTATTTTATAAATAATAAAAAGAATTTAAATACTTTAAAAAATGAAATTGTTTAGTAAACTCATATTGAAAAAAAATAATTACAATCAAGAATATACTTTGTACGTTGGTACTTTATTGTAATAACTTTATTTCTTCAATGTTCTAAATTTACATTAATGTTATTTTTTATTATTCTTTAGTAAAGTTTACCAAAAATATATTAAATAACTGTTAACTATATAAAAATTTAATTTTTAATGTAATAAAATAAAAATAGTTAAAATTTGTAACATTATTATATAGTTTAATTTTTTGCTAATAAGTATTTTATACTTGAATTTTTCTCTTAAAATTATTATTTATATTATCAATAAATTTAGTAAATTGTACAAAAAAATGAAATTAAAAATGTTTAAATAAAAAAATTAGTAATAAAATTTTTAAAAAGATATTCTATATAAATATATATATATTTTTTTTTTTCTACTTTACTTCTTATTAAACGTAGTAATAATTATAAAAAAATGTAAATATTTTTAATCGTTTTTCTTATATTCTTAGGTAATTTTAATTAGAAGAGTTATAAAAATTCCTTCAAAAAAATGTTATTCTAATTTTTATAAACACATTTGTATTTTTATTCCATTTAAAATCTTTTTACTTCTATATTTTTTTTTTTTTTTAATTAAAAATATTTTTTAGATTTTTTACTAATTTTCCTTTTACTAAATCCATATATTTTTATAAGGCCTCAAAGCTTTATTATAAATGCATTGTTTTTTTTTTTCTTATATTTTATATGTAAAAGCTATACTTTCAAAACGACATTAAACTTCCAGTTATATATATACATAGATATTGTTTATACATTTTTCATTTTGTTTTTTTTAAAAAAAAAAGGTTAATTATACTATAAATTTAAAATGAAAAAAAAATTATATATTCTTCAATAAAAAAAGTGTTAAAAAAATAATTTATTTTTAAAATTATAAAGGTATATATTTATGCTGTTAATATTTCATTTTCACATTATAAAAAAAAAAAAAAAATTTAAATCACATGAATAAATTAATTTATAAGTAAATTCTTTGCTTTTTTATATTTTGATAAAAAAATATTTAAAAAATTATGTTATAATAAAAAATATTTTATTGGATACTTTATAGATATATTTTCTCTTTTTATTAAAAATAGGAATGTTAACTATATATATATATATATATATAATATGATTTAATAATATTAACTTTTTTTTTTTTTTTTCTGTAATATTTCATTGTGTGTAATATTTACAAAAAATAAAAAAAAAGAAAAAACATGAAAAAAATTTACGATTAAAAATAAAACAGCAAAAAAAAAAAAAAAATTTATATAATGTATATATGTATTCATAAAAATATATGAAAAACAAATTAAAATTATTTTAATAAAAACAACTTTAAACAATAAAAAAAAAAAAAAAAAAAAAAAAAAAAAAGGTAGATACCTTTTTAATTGATATTATAAAGAGATCAATTATTTTTTTTTATATTTTGCATTATTTATTTTATTTTTTTCTTAATATTTATGTTCAACAAAAGGTAATGCACAAACTTGAGCAAGTGTAAATTTATGTGCAGATCTACTTCTTAATATTTTATATTTTTTTTTTTTGGAAAATTCTTGGGGAATATCAGTAGGAATAGATATAAGAACTTTTTCATTATTTTTTGCAAATTCTCTTTTAATATAACCTTGAGCTATTCTTTTTTTATATATAGGACTCCATGTGCAAGAAGTTACATATCCTATAGGTTTTTTATATGGATAGGATAATATTTTGCACGTTTTAAAAATTAATTCATTACATATAAGACCAATACGTAATATTTTTGATTTCATACTGTACTCTTTTAAAAGATTTTGAAACCCAAAAATACTTCTTTCTTTTATTTTTTTATATTTTAATGTCCATGATAAAGAAGCAGTAATAGGAGTTGTGTTTTTAAAAATGTCAATTCCATATTGAGGAATACCAGATTCCATTCTTAATATATCTAAAGCATATGCACCAGCTAATTTTACTTTTATGTGATTTAAGAATAGTTGAGAAAAAACATCACTTATACTATTGTCAACTATAAATTCATACCCATCTTCTCCTGTATCTCCAACTCTTATGCATAAAATTTCATACATATGAAATTTATCATTTTCATTATTTTTTCTTTCTTCCTTCATTTGATTGTTCTTCTTTATCATGTTTAATTTTTTAAAACTCATATATGGTATTTTAAAAAAATCACTCTCTTCATCTTTAAAATAAATATCATTTTCATAATTCTTTTTTATAATGTTTTTTAGATATCTTACATTTTTATCCTTATTTTTCCACGCATAATATTCTAAAATATCATTAAAAACTATATTAGATAATGGACCTTGTAAAGATAATACCCTTTTATTCATATCAACTTCTATGTTAACATCCATTCCACTATCTTTGCAAAATAAAATATAATCACTTAAAAATTCATATAAACCTCTTTTATAATATCCTGATGTCACTAATATTACTTCATTTTCACATTTTAATACATAACATGTATCTATAATGAAAGATTTATTATCTAATATACATGAGTAACAAGTATCGTAATTCTTCATGTCATTTAAATCACTAGATATAAATTGATTACATATATAGAAACAGTCATTACCTCTTAATTTAATTATAAGTTGATATGATTTATCAAATAAAGAGCAATTATTTCTTGTATTAAAATATTCATTTATTGTTCCTTCCTCAAATTTTGATGGAATAATACAATTGTTATATAAAATGAAAGAAGCATTCATAGAACTAAAAAATGTACCTAGTATTCTATTCCTATCTACTGTACTTAGCGCAGTGAAGACATCTAAGCAACTGATATCTAAGTCATTTTCATCTGTATAATTTAAAAAGTCCTCAATATATAAATCTTTTAAACTATTTTCACTTTTTTTATTTTCAATTTTTTCTCCAAGAAAATTAGAATCCTCATTTTTAACTTTAATAAAATCGTCCAATTCATTTCTGTTTTTTTCTTTTTTAACATTGTTCGAAGTGTCATACTTATTTATTACAATGTTTTTTGAAATATTATCATTTTTTTTTAAATCATTATACGAGATGTTATTGTTTGTATTCATTGAATCATATTTAAATATATTATTTATAGAATTACAGAGTTTATTAGTTTTACCTTCATTATCACATGTATGAATTTCATTTATATTTCCCTTTTTTTCCTCATCTTCGAAATTTTTTACACTAATCTGATTTGGGATATATTTTTTTTTTTTATTCAAATCTTTTAAAAATTCAGGTGTTTTAGGATAGCTATTTACATTATAATTTTCATGTAGTGTATTAATATTATTATATTCGTTTACCAAAGAATTTATATGTTTATCAACAAAGTATTGGGGATTCTCAATCTTATGAATTATTTCTTTTTTTTTTTCAATGAAATCTTCACATATGGAAAAAAAATTTAAATTAGAAAACTTATTTTCTTTATTTTTATTCATAGAACTATTATTACTATTAAATATTTTACTATTATTTATGACATTATCATCAAAATATTCTTTACTCATAAGTTCCTTTCGAACCTTTATAAGATTTTTAATGCATTCATTTTCTTCTGATTTTAATTCTTCTTTTATTTTATCTTCATACATAAAATTACTTCCACTATTTTTAGTAACTTCCTTTAAAGGATTATTAATCCATCCACCTCTACTTCCTTTTTTTACCTTGGAATATTTTGGTATATTATTAGGGTTATGCCTATACTTTTCTTCGTAAAATTTCTCTCTCTGCTTTTGTTTTCTTCTTGTCACTGCTCCATATGTTCCAAAATTCTTTTTAGAATTCCAAGGAAAAATAGTATTAGAAGAATTTAGAAAAACGCAGATAAATTTTTTTATTTTATTGTAACAAATATGATTTCTATAAATAGAAAATTGTTTTTGCATTTCAAAATAAGAAAAAAAAAAAAAAAAAGAAGAAGTAAAATATAAAAAAAAGAAAAAAATATATGGCTTTATAAAATGTAAGTCATAGAAAAATTAATAGATACACCTATATTTATATTTATTTATGCAAATATATTATATTATACTCCCTATTTTTTTTATCTAAATTTTTTTTTTATTTCTCAACTATTTCTTTTTATTATTACAAAGATATATGCCATTTTCTCAAATTATAAAATGCTAATATAGGTATATATATTTTAATAAAATAATAAATTAAAAAGTAATTCTTCAATTAATAATTCAATTATTCATTTTTAAATATAAATTTGTAACAATAAATTTTATCAAAAATTAAAAAATGTTCTTATTGAGTTCAATTAATTTAATTATGTTATAAAATATAATTACAAATATTAATTACTTATAAAAAAAGACATTTTTATATATCTAATTATATTTAAAGATGTTTCATAAGTGAAATGTTATTTTCCTTTTTTTTTTTTTTTTTTTTTTTTAGTTAA